AAAACTGACCTTTTCCAGTCCTGAGTTTTCCAAATTTGCTGGCATATTGAGTGCGGCACTTTCACAGCATCATCTTCCAGGATTTGAAATAGCTCAACTGGAATTCCATCACCTCCACTAGAATAATAATAAATAAAAATTTTAAAAAGGGGAATGACATCATCAGTTTGCCTTTTGTAAACATCACACGTTGTGTCGAGGAAGAATTAGGTTGAGGGCATAAGGTGGGCAGGATGGTCCCCAGTTAGGAGACTACAGCAGCATCCTGGGTGGGGCCAAATGACACATGGAATCAAGAAGGAGGTGGAGAGGAGGACATGGGTTTGAGAGCTACTAGGTGGAGGCAGTTATAGGATTTGGAGATGGGTTGAATGAGGGATGTAAGAGAAGAGTCAAGAATATCTCCCACACTTCTAACCAAAACTGCTGGTTGGGTGATGGAACCAACTGAGACGGAGTACAGAGGAGACACTGGCGTGTTGACGTGGGGAGGAGATATGGTAGATTGGGTTTTGAATCTGTTGGGTTTGAGGGCCTTTTAGGATTTGGGTCTGGAGCTCAGGAGAGTCATCATCTAATCAATGGAACTGATTTGGTGGGAGGGGAATTGCGTGTAAGGGGAAAAGAAAGCAACTCAGGAGAGAAAGTTGGGGAAGGCGAACTTCTAAGGCCGGGCCAGAGAGCCTGCACGAGGGCCAGGAGGAGAGTCAGAGAGGGACAGACACTCGGGAGAAGCAGGCAGTGGCCAAGAATCAGACACTACCAGGAAATCAAGTACAATAAGGCTTGAAAGCGGCTGTGGAATTTAGCACCGGGAGGCTGCTGGCAACCTTGGAAACCAGTTTTCTTGAAGCGATAGAGGTGGAAGTCAGGTTGCAAAGCACTGGGGAGAGGGTGAAAGGTGAGGAGATAGAGAGGGTGAATCCAAATCCCTCTAATGAGAAGCTAGACTGGGAAGGGAGCAAAAGGAGATGATGGCAGGAGGAAGGGAAAGTCAGATAGTCAGAATTCAGAAAAACCTGAAAGCTGCTTTCATTAAAGCTAAAAACCAAATAATTTTAAGAACGTTTACAGTGAGATAAATTGCATTAATAGATGACTTCTTTTGAAGGAAAAAAGTGAGCATTAATACAGACTTTAAGATAATCAATGCTTGTAAGCCAACAATTTTAGCTTTTGTTATGTAATCTAATATTTTCTTATTATTAATATAAAAGTAGTGCTGAGAGTAGTTCTCTTGGGTCCCCCATCCTGTTGCTCTCCACTTGAGATCCCCTTTCCAAGAAAGTCTCTTGCTTTGTCAGTAAAGAAAAAAGGAAGCAATATGTGTTACTTAAAACTCCAATTTTAATTTGTATCATTTATATTAAGAATAATTTATGGATGTATTACATACTTATAGATTTAGTATATGTTGAATTATTTTATAATTTATGTAATTGTTTCTCTTTGTTATTTTCATTTATTTAGATGGCCAGAACTTTCATGTTGAGGGAAAGAGTTAGTGGAGGGGAGGAGAAAATGAAGTGCCCTGTTCCAAGTTCATGACCCCTCTAGGAGATTGAAGCCTCCTCTTGCCAGCTCAGGAACTCCTCTAATTTCTCACACATTTGAAGAAGAGATAACTGAGGTCGAGGGATGAGCAAGCTCTTGCCAGCAGAAGTCACCATCCTTCTCCAGTGCCCAAGGCTTCCCACCTTCCTAGTGAGATCATTTTCCGGAAATTTATTGCATTTGCTTTACATCCATGTTTCAAAATGTGCATTGTCAATACACTGAAAGCCTATAGTACACAGTCATTTCCCCACATGAGGCGGAGGAGTTTGGACTTGATCTTACAATATGAGTGAGAAGTTGGCTCCTATGCTAACCGCCCCCTGGTGTAAGCAGGCCTTCTCCTGCTGCCTCTGGACTGACTCTTCTCTCCTCTTAGGTGAACCATCCAGAACAAATGCATTCAATTCCATCACTGCCTTTTGGAACTGATGACTCAGATGATACCCAAACATCACCCCAGGGTAATCAATCAATGTGCTGATATCCTGTAAGTGGCAGTCAGGACTGCAGACCCAGAGACAGCCGTGGGATTGCACAACTCTTAGTCATCATGGAAGCTGAGAGGGGATCAGGAAGCCTGGCCCAATGCCATCCTGAACTTAAAAACTGGAGAGAAAATGGCATAAGGCAGAAAGTATTGTGGATGGGTGAGAAAAGAAAGTGGACAGTGCCAGGAACTGCTTTCGCGCTGCTCAAAAACATCCGTGAAATTCCTTCATGTTCATTTTTTGAAGGATTATGAGTTAAAAGGAAGGGGCATGCATGTCCATTTTACCTGGAGTTTTTCAGGTCACTCCTGTTGGGTCAAATGGTGGCCCAGAGGCTGGGATGACCTAGCCCTTCTCTGACCCACCTCTTTCCTTCTCTTACAGCTGAGGCCAGGTGGATGGATGTCCAGCTATATTTATATTTAGTTAGGAATAATTCCCTGTGAAATGTAAGGAGCTTAGTATGGATTTGGTTAAGTCAGCACAATTTCCTCTTGTTTTCAACTTGTTCTGATCGAAACACTCAAGATTCAGAGATTAGGGATGTCCTTAAATTCAATCTAATATAAGGTCTCTCTTGTCCCTGAGACCTTTTAGGAACTCTGTTCCATCCAGATGCTGGGTCTCTGTCTGGTCCTTACCAGTCAGCTGTATCCCCTCTTTCCAGAGAAATGTACACAGTCTGTCCACCAGGACTGCCAACAACGTCTGTGGCTTGGTCCTCTCTTGGGGCCCCTCTTCTTGCCAGGCCTCTCCAAGGCTGGCCCAGCCTTGGCAGTATCTACTGCCAGTCCACTCTCTTTCCACTGGCTCAAGTGCACTTCCTGCCCCCATGACAGCTGGTGTGTCCCAAGCAAACGGCTATTCCAGAGTCATGTCTGGTTTCTGATCCCAGCATTTCTACAGCCTGCTCCTGTTCTCACAGGTTGGAGCCAGAAGCACCAGTCTGTGGGATTCCAAGTGCCTGCCATTCCCACTGCCTCCTTATGAGGAGACTGGCCTTGGGCAGCTGCTTGCAAGTGAATACTGGCTGTTATACTCTGCGACCTTGCTCCTCCCTGGCCATGTGAATTGGCCCAGGAATTAGGACTTGAGTCCAAGGAAGCCATTTATTGGCTGGGCATGGGGAGACTAGCATCCCATGAACTAGACTGGTGGTTAAGATTTTGCTTACAGGACAGTTGCATATTAGACAGTGACCAGCAGGCTCAATCAGATCTCTCTTGGGAATTTTGAAAGCGAGATAGCTTATATAAGTCAGGCAGTGAAGAAGAGAAACAAAGGCAAAGGAGGTGCAGGAGAGCGCTTACTTCCGAAGTGGGGAAGATACCTTCTGCAGCAATGTTGAGCCTTCCTGGGTATCAGATAGCAGTCTGTTCCTTCACCTGGGGGCCAGACATGACTGAGACCCCATTGGGGCAGGTTTCCTCGCTTTTCCAACTCCCCGGGGTTACACTGAGTTAAACTTTATTCTCACCCAGCCTCTCCAGGAGTGAATGGCCACACCCAGAGGGTAATTGAGGAAATGACCCCATTGGGGCAGGTTTCCTCACTTTTCCAACTCCCCGGGTTACACTGAGCCAAGCTTTATTCTCACCCAGCCTCTCCAGGAGTGAATGGCCACACCCAGAGGGTAATTGAGGAAATGACNTCCAGGAGTGAATGGCCACACCCAGAGGGTAATTGAGGAAATGACCCCATTGGGGCAGGTTTCCTCACTTTTCCAACTCCCCGGGTTACACTGAGCCAAGCTTTATTCTCACCCAGCCTCTCCAGGAGTGAATGGCCACACCCAGAGGGTAATTGAGGAAATGACTGCGGTCAGATGGAGGGAGTTTTCAGCAGAATATCCTGGCTTGTTATTGATTCTAGTAGCTAAAGAGATGAGACGCAGATGACATACTTATCGAATGAAGGTGTGACCCAGGACTGAGTGGGACAGCGAATGGGTGTCAGGGTCAAAGGTCAAAGAGGCTTCACATCAGGTTGGAGAGATGGGCCAAATGCAATGCGAGGACACTCAAAGGACAAATAGGAACTTCTCCCCCCACCCACATGGTAGCAGAACAGCTCTTTAAAAATACTCGGCGTGTCTCATTGGCTGCGGAAAAATAGCCCACAGAGTGAGGGAGTTGCTCCAAAGGGAGACCAAAATGTTTGAATCCTATAATAATGAGAGTATGGTCTCTAGCTCAACCTTCACCTGGTACAAAATGTCATGAGGCCCTATGGGCTATTCTAGTAGTGAGTGGAGCTTTCCATCTGAGGGATAAAGGGGCTGATGTTGCCCAGGTCATCATCCTAATCTTTCCTTCCTAATCCTTCCTTCCTTCTTTCTTTCTTTCTGAAGCCTTACCTTCTAAACCTTCTTTCTTCCCTTCCTTTCTTCATCCCTTCCTTCCTTTTCTCCTTCCTTTCTTCCTTTATCAAACACTGAGTGAACACCTCTGATCTGGCACCATGATAGGTATTTGGTCTCACAGGAGAACAAAGAGGTCAAAGAAGTTTTACAGAGAAGTTTGTGTCTGGAGAAATGAGTAGGAGTTTCGTTTAGTCAAGCAGATTTAGGAGGAGGTGGGGGGCAGGGGAAGGTCATCCCAGTTGAATGGTGAGAAGTTTAAACTGGCTGGAGTTTTGGGAATGGAGGAAAAGAATTTATGATCCCACAGTGAATGACATTACATATGGTGTGCCAAGGACGGTGGTCTTTATCCTGAGGTTAATTATTAAGAGTTTTTGAGCAGGGACAACACAACCAAATCTGAGATTAAAGAGAACTGGTAGCAGGATGGAGGATGGTCCAGAGAGGACACAGATTAACGGCAGTGATCCAGTTAGCCAGCATGGCAGTCTTTCTTCTCTTGCAGGCAGAAACCACTCCCTCAGTTCAGTTCAGTTCAGTTCAGTCGCTTAGTCGTGTCCAACTCTTGGCAACCCCATGAATCCCAGCACGCCAGGCCTCCCTGTCCATCACCAACTCCTGGAGTTTACTCAAACTAATGTCCATCAAGTCGGTGATGCCATCCAGCCATCTCATCCTCTGTCATCCCCTTCTCCTCCTGCCCCCAATCCCTCCCAGCATCAGGGTCTTTTCCAATGAGTCAACTCTTCGCATGAGGTGGCCAAAGTATTGGAGTTTCAGCTTCAGCATCAGTCCTTCCAATGAACACCCAGGACTGATCTCCTTTAGGATGGACTGGTTGGATCTCCTTGCAGTCCAAGGGACTCTCAAGAGTCTTCTCCAACACCACAGTTCAAAAGCATCAATTCTTCGGCGCTCAGCTTTCTTCACAGTCCAACTCTCACATCCATACATGACCACTGGAAAAACCATAGCCTTGACTAGATGGACCTTTGTTGGCAAAGTGATGTCTCTGCTTTTTAATATGCTATCTAGGTTGGTCATAACTTTCCTTCCAAGGAGTAAGCATCTTTTAATTTCATGGATGCAATCACCATCTGCAGTGATTTTGGAGCTCAGAAAAATAAAGTCAGCCACTCTTTCTCCATCTATTTCCCATGAGGTGATGGGACCAGATGCCATGGTCTTAGTTTTCTGAATGTTGAGCTTTAAGCCAACGTTTTCACTCTCCTCTTTCTCTTTCATCAAGAGGCTCTTTAGTTCCTCTTCACTTTCTGCCATAAGGGTGGTGTCACCTGCATATCTGAGGTTATTGATATTTCTCCCAGCAATCTTGATTCCAGCTTGTGCTTCCTCCAGTCCAGCGTTTCTCATGATGTACTCTGCATATAAGTGAAATAAGCAGGGTGACAATATACAGCCTTGATGTACTCCTTTTCCTCTTTGGAACCAGTCTGTTGTTCCATGTCTAGTTCTAACTGTTGCTTTCTGACCTGCATATAGGTTTCTCAAGAGGCAGGTCAGGTGGTCTGGCATTCCCATCTCTTTCAGAATTTTCCACAGTTTATTGTGATCCACACAGTCAAAGGCTTTGGCATCGTCAATAAAGCAGAAATAGCTGTTTTTCTGGAACTCTTTTGCTATATTTGGTGATATATATGTATATTATCATCTATATATTTAGCACATGTAGGTTATTATCTATACCTTAGAGATGAGGTATTGGATACAGAAGCCCAAAGTGACTTGGCCACAGAGAATTCAACAACTAATAGTGAAAGAACCAGTATTCAACATTTCACTTGATTAAGGCTCTGATAGCTAGGAGTTTTATACTTGACAAGCAGAGGCATGCTGACTGATGGGGGAGGCTACTGCTGTGGTCCAGGGAAGAGAGGGTCAGGTGAGGCAGGACACTGGCCCTAGCATGCTAAGAGAAGATGGATGAGAGAGATCTTTGAGCGGCAGGTGATTAGCCTTGGTGCCCTACTGGGTGTGGGAAGTAAGGGAGAGGAAGGAGTAAAGAAACTTCCTGACTGCCTGGTGAGGTTGTAGGGAGTGACAGGCAAGGAGGGGAGTCTCTGAAGGAAGAGGAATTTTGTTTGGAACAGTTGAGTGGGGTGTCTCTTTGGAGTTGTCAGGTAGCACTGGGGGTCCAGCAGGCCCTTGAAAATTCTCCTGTAGGAGGAGGTCTGGAGCTCTAGGCTGCAAGCTGCTGATACAGACAGGGAGCTATGCTAGGTGGCGTGAAGTTACACAGAATTGAAGGTTTAGAAGTTGGGGTGGTTCCTCGAGACGAACCTTCTTCTCACCTTCTCCCCCACTGTGCACTCTCTCCCCTCTCCTCCTCCTGCCCCTGTCTGTGAGGGCTGCAAGGGCTTGAGGGGACCAGCAGACCCTCAGTGGTGCTGGGAATGGAGCCTGGGCAAAGGGCAACTTCCTCCAGGCAGCCTTCCCAGGTCGATGGGAGCTGGTGGGTTCCCGCACAGCTTCAGCTTGTCCAGTGGCCTCACACCCCAGTCCTTGGCCTGACTGCTTCGTGTCATTACTCACAGGGATCCGCGCTCTTGTCTTGGCATTTCTGAAGCAGATAGATGTCTGTCTGGGAAGA